CCCAGGGCTGGCCTGAAATTCGTGATATTCATCTTGCTTCATTAGTGCTGGGATGATAGGAATGCCTGCAGGCATGGCACAATGTGATCTCATGGAGCTCATCTCCTCTTCACTCATATCCATGATCTACACTCCTGCATTCCCTATCAAGCTTCTCAGAACAGGAGTTTTCATAGAAAAGGTCCTGACTCACTTTTTGGAGTTCTGCATGTGGATGATGTGCACTATTCTTGTCTCCAAAAGGTTCTGGGTCCTCCACCTCCACAGCATCCCAGGTAGAAGTGGCCATTAACTCACTTGCAGTGTCTCCATTTAGCTGATGGAATCTAACCACAGAGAGCATGTTCCTAAGGTCTTTCATTTTAAAAAATCTGCATCTGCTTTTGACCAGTATCAAGGGGGTGGTAGAGTTTGGTGTCATATTAGTTAATTCATCTAGATTTTTTCCCTTCAATTGCTTTAGTTCTGTCAGGTCCACTGTTCACCACACTGTGCATAACCTTCACAAATATATATTTAAATGATTAAGTCCCTTCCCAAAAGGTGAAAAATAAATAAATAAAAGCAATGCTGAACCCTGTTGTCAATGATATAACACCTATTGAAGCCTCTCTTGTCATGTTAGCACTGTTCAAACTGTTTGTCAATGTCATTATCTTAAAACAATTTCTGCTGTTGATAATATCAGTATACCACTGTTAAATGTGTCTGTCACCATAAGGCACAGTCTGAAGGACCCACTTTCCCACAGTCTCAACGCTTTAGTGGCTAGAGTTGTAAGCTAGTGTTAGAGCACTTGTCTGGCATGGCCTGAGTCCCTGGATTTAATACCCGGCACTACACAGAGACAACTCAGCAGTTGGAAGTTACAATTGGACCATTCTTGAAATTTTCTTTGAGGTACTGGATGTTTAGGAATAGGTTGTTTATGAGGAGCAGTGTTCTAGGCCAGACCTGTCAATTGTGAACTCAGAACTTTCCACCACTGCTCTCCTAGGAACCTCATCAGAATGATTTGACAATCTAAAGATCAGGAATTTCTAGATTCATCAAATGAGTTGGTTGTTACTTACACATCTTTCATGGTGTTCCTTTTATCAGCTGGTGGCTATTTGCTGGCCAGCTAAAAAATCAGTATTTAGTCCTGCCTAAGGTGAGTTTTTATGACATAGATGCTTATCTCCAAGAAAATCTTTAGCACAATTTGCATTTCTCAATAATTCTAGTGGATATTTTGGGAGCATTGAAAGGCTTATATGACCGGGGCATTGGTGGCACATGCCTTTAATCCCAGCACTTGGGAGGCAGAGGCAGGAGGATGTCTATGAGTTGGAGGCCAGCCTGTTCTCCAGAGTGAGTGCCAGGATAGGCTCCAAAGCTCACCAGAGCACACCCGTCTCGAAAAACCAAACCAAAAAAAAGAAAAAAAGAAAAAAGAAAAGAAAGGCTTATATATGGCAATGATGAGGGATAATTAATGTTTGAATTACACTGTGATTTGCATTAGAAAATGTTATATAAGCTCAAATACCTTGGGCAGTTTTTGGCTTTTACTGGGAAATGTATTTTCATAACTGAATGGAAAATTAAATTGCTTATCATGTTTCAGTTGTTGATTTTTATGCATAAAGGTCTTCTTCCACTTTGCCTACTTCTAGAAACTCTGTGGTATCCTAAGGACATTATTAAGATATTGCTATCATAATTTCCTGGACACATTTTATTTCCAAGAGGAGATTGGGAAGTACTATAGGATTCTGGGGGAAGAAACGGGCAGCTGAACCAAGTTTGGTAGATGGAAGACAAGGCTGGGCTTGAAAGAATTTATGAGAGGTTCCAGAAATGAGGAAGGTTTTTAGGTTATAATTGAGGTAACAAGGAAGTAAAAAACAGTTCCAAAGAGATAATCCACCTACTTCAAAACCATCCTATCAAAATGAATGAAAACAAAACAAAACAACAAAGATCCAGCAAGACAATGGGAAAACAAAGGACAAAAGGGATTGAAGCTCAGGTTTAATTCCTGGTCATATTTGTATTTCAACAAGAATCGGTTTTGTTTTTTGTTTTTTCTTTTTCACTTCTAAATGATGAGCACATGATTATGCTTTCCAAACAAATAATTTTTTCAACTACTCTTTATTTTTAACATCCTCCCACAAGCAGGAGAAAACACTTAAAAATCATCTGAGCTATTTTCTATTTACTCAGAAAATAGATTCTCTAAGCTGTATTTAAAACTCAGTTAAAATTTTATATTTATGGTCATGCCAAACTCTTCTCGTGACTGACTAACCACAGAGTTTAACATCTTGAATAAGAGGATATTTAGAAATAACTAATAATTATGTGGCTTCATTCCTCTCAGTATAGAATATACATCCAGAAGTACTGCCAGAATTTTCAGAAGAAAGTATAAATTCTTTCTTACCAAATGTAACTGTTCAAGTATTTCTTGTAAGCATAGATACAGAGTTAAGAATTACGCTTATGATTAATTGTGTTATACACATGTAAAACATTGAATTAATACTGCTAAGGAAAGACTCAGCTGTTATTAATTTATATTTTAAAATGATTTGTGCTCCATCAGTCGGTAAATAGCTCAAGCTCCTAGTTCATTATGATGAATGTAATTTTTTTAGACTTTGGTATTTATGATCATACTATAATATGAATGCAAAGTAGATACACAGATTGTTTTACTCAACTGTCAGATGAAAAATATACATACATGGCATGTGTGAGTACAAAAAGTCTGAATCTGTGAGTTAGCAATACAAATACTCAAGGATTTAAGTACTGCACACTTGCTTATACCTCTAGACTCACACTAGACAGGGCTAGGTCTGGCTACTGACTTCAAATAAATAGTGACCACTCTTTCTAGGAAATTTAAAGAGAAATTCATAATTTTCCCAAGAAACAATTATCTTCATTCTTTATTTTCTTTCTTTCTTTCTTTCTTTCTTTCTTGCTTTCTTTCTTTCTTTCTTTCTTTCTTTCTTTTCTCTTTCTTTCTCTCTTTCTTTCTTTCTTTCTTTCTTTCTTTCTTTCTTTCTTTCTTTCTTTCTTTCTTTCCAGTTTTTGGCTCAACCCTCCCAAGTACCCCTGGTGGAATTAATTCCACAAGTAGGTATGCTTTTGTCGTCTGTTCATTTGTGTCTTCAGAGACTAGTCTGTAATTTCATTTCAGGATACCTGTGAGTCATAATACAAGCAAGGAAACACTTGTTCCTTCTCCTTCATTATTTGTGTTTGATGTCCCCTGTGTTTGATTATATAATTTGTACACCTTCCTGAAGATGAGGACATGAAAATGAGATCATAGAAAGTAGATTTCTTTCATTGTATAAGTAGATATGAAAAATCATGTTTTCCTGGCCACTCGGTAAGTCTCCATACATGTAGATACCATGGGGACAATTTGGATTTTTTTTTAAATGAGAGAGATAACTGGTCTGCTACTAATTATCATTCTATTGTGTCAGAGGAAGTATGTTATGGTGGCAAAGACCATCATCACTACCATTTGGGTGCATGTTCCTCTAGTGTCTCTTCTAAAAAAAATTAAGAAAAATTCACATCAGATGAAAATATTCCACACCAGGCCTGTTTCACACATCGCCATAGCTGGGATGGTGACACAAAATTTGTAGACATCCACCGCAATTGTTCTTATTGCGCTGGCTTTTTCTTCGGTTACATTTGAGGCAATGTGAGTCTTATGGAAGATTCTAATTTTGAAGGATGAGAAAGACATAGAATCCCTGTAATCAGTGTCCCCTTCCTCATGCAAATTCTTTCTTCCAATAGATAAAAGCATATTTTGAATGAGTAATAGATGTAATTCAGAACTTAGCTTTTAAAATATGTCATGTTTCCATGCAAAAGCCCAAACCAAAATGCTCATGTGGGAGACAGAGAACACAGTAAGGGATAATAGGTTTGAACATTTTAAACTCTTATGTAAAATTTGGTGTTTTACATAACTTTAATGAATTGACAAAGTCTTGTGGAGAAAACAGCTCCAGATGGCAAACATACGCAAGGGATTTAGTCAAACAACTTTTTGGCAATGATTGTATGATTTTGTAATTGGATAGGAACCAATGAAATGCAAGATGAGCCTGGTTAATGATCTACAGTTATTGGCTAAAGAAGTATATTAGAGCGGATTTCCCTCCATACATCTCACCTTTCCTATCAACCCCACAAGCCTCTGGCACAATGAAGTGGGTAACTTTCCTCCTCCTTCTCTTTGTCTCTGACTCTGCTTTTTCCAGGGGATTATTTCGCCGAGAAGCACGTAAGAATTTTATATTTTCATAAAACATGCTCTACTTTTATCTTATTTTCCTAGTAATGGAAGCCCTGCATTTTAGAGAGTTAAGTTTTTATTTAGTGCTTATTTCTAGACTTGTATGATATTTTGTGCCTGAGAACCCTTGTGTGGTTATATTATTAATATGCTTTAGACATCTTAGGTGTCAACAATGAAGGGATTGTTTTAAAGCTTAGTTTTACATTTCTTTTAATTTTGAAGAAATGCTAGGCAGAATCACTTAAACTCTATGGATTACAGTTGAAACCAGAATTCTTCATAGTCTCAAAGGCCCATTTACTCTACCATGCTATACTAAAAACTGAAAGTGTGTGTTGTTGATTTTTATAAGTGGAGCTTCCAGCTGTATTTGCTTTTATTTCAGGTTGTCTTAGTAGATATTAACAGATGTGACAAGAGCCTTGAATCTTAGGTTTGAGTGCAAAGCTATAAACACTTAATGAGTTTTAAAATACTATTCTTGGTGACAGGACAGATCTTTAATGAAGGAGGATCTTTATCTTTCGCGGTTTGTTTTCTTTTTTTGTAGAGATAAGAGACCAGGGTCTTAAAGTAAAGGAGTAGCTCCAGTTTGTGGAAAGAAGTATGAAAAGCAGCATTATAATTAGGTGTCTTCATCAATATTTCAATATGTTTTTAATGGTTTTTTCCTCTCCCTGTTCCCACAGACAAGAGTGAGATCGCTCATCGGTTTAAGGATTTGGGAGAACAACATTTCAAAGGCCTGTAAGTTAAAATGTTGAAAGTCAATTTAATGTTTCTGGTAGTCTTTATTTCAAGTTCTAAGATGTTTCCCACCTTGAGTGTACAAACTGTAGGTAGCACTTTCCAGAGGAATGTCACCATTGATGGAAAGACTCTTGGCCTGTGCTGAGCAATATGGCAGCCAGAGGACACGTGGTTAGTTTGTACTTAGAGCATGACAAGTCTAACTGAGGAGCACACATTCAAATGATACTATATTTTAATTAAGTGTATCTAGCCACTTGTGGATAATGGCTGCTTTATCTGCAGAGGGAGTTTCTGGAACCCATCTCAAACTTGCAAAGTATGGAATTTTATCTTTCTTTCTGTAAAGGTCTAAGATAAGTTCCTTGGAAAGCTAACTTGCTAATTTTTCTTTATACAGAAAGATTCTATGATATCTTGAGAAGATTATTTTGTCTTTGTGTAGTACTGGGGCCTTGCACATGTGAAGCAAGTGGTCTATAGTTAGTCATATCTCCAACCTCAAAAAAATTTTAATGTGGAAAATGAGAAGTTAATTTTTAAAAGATCAATAGTGTCATATACCTCTGACTAACTCCATAACTGAGGTATATGGATTAGAAAAGAAATAACTCAAATGACTTATGTAATGCCTAGCCTTGACAAGGAAGTGTATTTACAACATGGTTGATTTGCCGCATGTTCACAAATCTACTGAAACACATATGCATCTATACTTAAGCATGGTAGAAGTCCATATTACTTTTGCTTGGAAATGCATATCTTCCTGGTTATCCCTCAGAGAAGAGCTGGCAGGAATAGGCTTTCTAGACACTTGTAAGAAAGATATACAAGATACAGATGGTGTACACATACACAATTTGCTGTTTAGGAAAGCCAACTGCTCCATACTAAAGTTTTATTTCTATGTCTGTCTTTTCAGAGTCCTTATTGCCTTTTCCCAGTATCTCCAGAAATGCCCATATGAAGAACACGTGAAATTAGTGAATGAAGTAACCGACTTTGCAAAAACATGTGTTGCTGATGAGTCTGCTGAAAACTGTGGCAAATCACTTGTAAGTAGTCAAAAAGTCTTACCAACATGACAGGTCAAATTTGAGCTTAATGATTCCAACAACAATAGTTGTGCCAAAGTGGATGAAAGACCACAAGGCCTCAACTCTACACAAAGAACTATTGGCAAATAAAGAATGCTGAGAGCAGGAGAAATTCTCTTCTCCAGGGAACAGAACACCAACTGGTTAGTTCAATACCTATGGTCAGCCCTGAAAACATGCATACAAGTAACATTATACAGACTAACAGGCTATGTTTAGGAGTGTATATGTATACATAAACATATATTTATGTAATAACAATTAATGAGAAATGAGGTCATGGATATGAAAGAGAACAAGGGAGCCTATATGGGAGGGTTTGGAGGGAGAAAGGAGAAAGAGGAAATTATGTTAATTATATAGTAATCTCAAAATATAAAAGAAGTAATAAAACTTATTAAATGATCAAAATTGCAAGCAAGTGGAGACACTGTAGGTATGCTCACAACTTAAATTCTTGGGGACTACAGCTAACAGTTATAATATATTTAATGGCAATTTGTCATTTGTACAATTTCTTTCCAAGCTCTAAAATCTTATTTCTGTTCACAGAGTCTAATAGCAATAGCATGAGTTTATGTACTTACTAATTGTTTTGTGGTGAGAGCCTTCTACCCTCTTACTATAGTTGACCTTAGCTACAATACCGTCCAGCAGATCTGTAGAAGCTATCTTGCTTAGCTGAGATTCTATACTGGATGATGAGTAACTGAGTAACTGAGATTATGCTGTCTGTCAGCTATAATTCCCCTTTTGGATTCCATGAATTCAAGTATTTTGGTACCTCATATGAGTAAGATCACACAGAATGTATCCTTCTGTGACTGGCTTATTGCACTTAGCAAAATGTCCTTCAGGAATCCCCATGTTGGCTGAAGAGTAATCCCTAGTATGTACTCACCACATTCTTAATTTGCCCACCCACATTTTCTTTTGCTGGTGGCTTTTTAGGCTGTTTACACATTCTGATTTTTACAGGAAATGCTACAGTAGAGAGGAGGGACAATGTTTCTTGACATGATGGTACTATGTTAATCTTCATAATGCATCAGCTGGTTTCTTTTTTTTTTGCTGTTTTTTTTTTTTTTTTTTTTTTTTTTTTTTTTGGTTTTTCGAGACAGGGTTTCTCTGTGTAGCTTTGGAGCCTATCCTGGCACTCTCTCTGGAGACCAGGCTGGCCTCGAACTCACAGATATCCACCCGCCTCTGCCTCCCGAGTGCTAGGATTAAAGGCATGTGCCACAAACGCCCGGCCAGCTGGTTTCTTAACTCTTTGGTTTCTTGGATAAAATTATGGTATAATTCTTTATTTCCATCCTAGGGACATGAATTTTTATACACAATTAGAAAGTGGGGTTTTTGGTCATTTAGAAGTTTTGCAATTTATGTGTATGGCTTCAAAACCCGAGGCTTGAGCTTCTCTGACTGCTTAATCTATGGGCAAAGCCATTTTTTAAAATTTACCTCTAGGCCCTTTATTCTTGCTTTCCTCTGGAAACCTTTCCCTCTCATTGCGGAGTTAGGACTTCACACAAAATATTACAGCTTTTCCTCGATATTCCTAGAACTATGTTTTTGAAAGCCATTAAATTTTCCATGAAGTTAAATTACTTTTATAATAAAAATTAATGAAGAAAGGAAGGATTATTTAACAAATGAAGTCTTGGGGGGCATTGTTTCTAGTATAAAAAGGAGATGTGCATTTTAATGTAATAATTATTTACAGTAAATTTTGATAGTCCTCAGTTTTCCTGGGAACCTACTAAAAATTTGGGTTTCTTCTGTTCCTTCTTCAAAAGTCACATGAGAAGTTGTGTGAGCATTTGTTACTCTTGACATGAATTCACAGTCTCCTTGAAGTACTAGTTTCCCTTGATTTTTTAAAAAATTATAGTGGATTTTCTCCTAGCTTTTAGTGCTAGACAGAAGGCATGTTAGGTGACACTCCTTAAGGTCCTTAGATATTTGCTTCTCTGTTTCAGTCACCATTCATAATACTGTGGTATTTGACTATTACAAAAATTACACAAAAATAGGCAAACTAAAGGAAAGTAAAAGAAGGGATTTTTATATATTTTCCTTTTGCTTCATGGTTTTAAATATGATTTATTTCATTAACAAATTTTTATACTTCAATTTTTAAGTGGCATATAAAAGCATAAAATTGTATGTATTTCAAGGTGTTATGTGATGCACTAATATCATATATACCTATTCACTTTGCTTTTTTAACCAAGTTTCATCCACACATTCAGTTCTTTACACTGCCCTTTGGTTATAGAGAAAGTCAGGTAGTTACTGGCAGGAATTTGACAGCTTCTGTTTTTCCACTCAGCACACTCTTTTTGGAGACAAATTATGTGCCATCCCAAATCTTCGTGACAGCTATGGTGAACTGGCTGACTGCTGTGCAAAACAAGAACCCGAAAGAAACCAATGTTTCCTGAAACACAAGGATGACCATCCCAACCTGCCCCCATTTGTGAGGCCAGACCCTGAGGTCATGTGCACCTCCTTTCAGGAAAACGCTGCTACATTTATGGGACAGTAAGTAACCAGCTGTCGATGCTTTAAACTAAAAATGGCAATAACCCTCTCAGTAACCCTTACACTCATAGTTATCCAAACCCCAAGTATTGAGCATCAATTCTGGGAAGGTTTTACCACGAGGTGATTTTTAAAAGCAAAATATTTAATACCACAACACCACACACAATGACACTAAAATGATAAAGGACATTTTGATCTTGAAAACATATATGATCTGTGTGAAAAAATCTGAGATTGAAAGTTGTAAAATATTCTCAAGTGGTGTGTGTCACATTCATGTTCTCTGGATCAATTTTTATTTTAGTCAGCAACATTCTATCACCCAAATTTAACTATTTACCAAAAATGCACACAAGTACACAAATTTAATCTCTCTTTCTTACATAAGAACAACACAGACAGGCCATCACTCATGGCCACACTGAGGGAAACTGGTCACTTACAAGTCTTTGGGTTTGGGTTTCTGTAGTGTTATGTGCTGTGGGAGATGATTGCCTTCTTTCTTCTTTTTCCATAACTCAGCTATTTGCATGAAGTTGCCAGAAGACATCCTTACTTCTATGCTCCTGAGCTCCTTTACTATGCTGAGAAGTACAGCGCCATTATGACTGAGTGCTGTGGAGAATCAGACAAAGCTGCTTGCTTAACACCCAAGGTAATCAATCTTTGGAAAGAGTGAAAAAAAATGAAATGAAATGAATGAAACTTCTCTATGTCATTTGAAAACCTTCTTCCCTCTTAAGTTACCAATAGATTTTTGTTCTAATATATTTCTTCCTTCTAAGATTTAGCAGCGATGTTCTGAGATGGAGTTCCTGGATGTGTGTTTACTTATCTTCCTATTGTTTGTGGCAGTGACTTCTGTATTATCACAGCATTTGTCAAACTGGACAGCTAGGGCTAGCTTTTTTTTTTTTGCTTTTTATTTTTTGTCTTTCCTTGAGACATTTTAGTGGGGATAGAATTCAAAGCAGAGAATTTTACTGAGGCTAGAAGTTGGAATCCATTCCTTTATCCCATGAAGGATTACGAATCATTTGTTTTTCTTAGGCACTTACCCATTTTATGAAAGTTGATGAAGTAGGGACTTAGATAAATTAGTCCCCAAATTAAAAAGTCAGTACCTATATAAATATATACATATAGGCCATGGGTTATTAGCATAGCACATGTATCTCCTCTCAGGACCCTTTCCCTCGCAATGTCTTCATGCTGCTTTTTTGAGTACCTAAAAACCTCCACACAGAGAGATTTTCTCTCCCTTCGGAATCAAAATGATGATTTGTCAAAAGGGAATACTTGTTAATTTAGGCTTAATTGTCTTTTTAAATTTTCGTTTGGATGCAAGGTGCATCTCCGTAGCAGAGCTCTTGCCTAACATGCTCAAAGTCCTGATTTCAACTCCCTACCAAACACATTATTTTGGCATGGGGATGTCTGAACTTTTGAGGGTGTGTGTGTGTGTGTGTGTGTGTGTGTGTGTGTAGAAATAGTCTTGTAAAATTTTTTCAACTGTATTTCTTTTTGTAGATTGATGCTCTGAAGGAGAAAGCATTGGCTTCATCTGTTCACCAAAGATTGAAGTGCTCCAGCTTGGAGAGATTTGGACAGAGAGCTTTCAAAGCCTGGTACATATTTTTTTTACATATATCACAGTTTGCATCTTTATAATGATAATTGTCTAATCTACAAGACTGTGCGTTTATCAGGTACTTTATGAGAAGTTGATGGAGGTGAGATCAGAATTACAGAAATAATCTGACAATTTTGTCTCAATTTTTGTTTTAAATTGTCAAAGAATTTAGAAAGCTTTTTTCCCTAAAAGAAGACAGAAATTTAAGTCCCATTTGTTTATAAAGACTAGGAATCTCATTTTAAAAGCTTAAAAAATACAATCCCAGTCAGGGCAATTAATTTACTTAATTTATTTCTCCTCAATCTGAAAGTGACTGTTTAATGTCCGGATAATTGGATAACTGAGTTCAGCCATCAACCAAGTTGGAGTTATTACTCTGAATTTTCTTACAACTCCAATTCTGTTCCTAATCTCATGTTTTTGCTCCACCCTCTCATGATTTTATTATGCATCTGAATTTGGGAACATTCCTTACTATATAAGCCAAGAAAATATGCTTGCCCTTCCAGCACCTTGCCTGGTCATCAATAACCAATCAACACAATAGGAGAGAAAATAGGGATGACAGACATTGTCCTTGCACTCTAGAAACCGTCAGCAAGAATTGTCCTCACTAAGTCATCCCTACTATCCAAATTCTGAAAGCCAATCAAAGCAACAAATACAGCAACTCCAACATGAAACAATACACCATTACACAGGCTATGATTGGTTCATGCAAAGGAGTCCCTTTATCAGAGCTATAGAACTGAGAGTTGTTTTGGAACAAATAAAGATTTTGGCTTTTTGCATATCACCGTGGAGCTTAGAGGCTGTCTGCTGGAACAATGTCTTGGCAGAAGGATATGCGATTTTTTTTATCGTTTTTTTATTTGAATTACAAACAAGATTGAATTACATGACAATCCCAGTCCTCTTCTCCCTCCCTTCCTCCCCTACGTGATTTAAAAAACAAAAACAAAAATAATAAAACCAACTCTCTAAATCTCTAGAAGTTAGGGATGTTTTTCCCCCTCCACAGACCTTTATAATTCAGAAAAGTACATCTTAATTAAGGCAAAAGATGATGAATCTTCATTTCCAGATAAGAAAATGTTTTCATGTTATTATGTAATTTTACTTCCTGGATCCTTTGATTTAGTGTGCTGTAACACTATAAAAGCTGAAGCCTGTTTGGGGTTACACTGCTAAGATGTGATCAAGTCAGAGACAGACGTCAGATAAGGACTCAAAACCTGATACCCCTTAGACTGCCACCCCTTTGGGAATTCCTCTTTGATTTTGTGAAGCATCAGCTTTCCACACACCACCCCCATTCTTTAGTAGATAATTCTTCCAAAGGAAAACATAACTATAATGTCATAACTAGCATTACAAGAACTAGTGAATTTTTATAATTTTCTTCATTTCACTTAGATTTGAGCTTCCTTGTTATAAGTGATATCTTTTCACTGCTTTCTTACAAATACAATATGATAATAATTCTTTGATGGGGAAATTTGCTTTTTAGGGCAGTAGCTCGTTTGAGCCAGAAATTCCCCAAGGCTGACTTCGCAGAAATTACCAAGTTGGCAACAGACCTTACCAAAGTCAACGAAGAATGCTGCCATGGTGACCTGCTTGAATGCGCAGATGACAGGGTAAAGAGTCATTGCATACTAGAGTCAGTGTGTGTGTGTGTTTGGCTGCAGTGATGAACGCTGACAGTGCTTGACATGGTCTCTGGATTCTCCTTTTCACAAAGCTTTCCTTGCTTTTCTGCACTTTCCAGGAAAACAACAAACAAACAAACAAAACATACCACAAAACAAAAACAAACCCCCAAAAGACAGTTTTCTGAATTATTAAATGACCTGAAACACCTTTGTTCAGCCACACTCTAAGTAGGCCTAAATAGAGAGAGAACAGTTACAAACGTAAATTTATTCTCACTGACCTCACTTTCTCTGAAGTTGTACTGTCATCCCCTTCACTTCCGCTTTATAAAGATTAGAAATATAAACAAATACCACAAGCTTCTTCTGCCATGAAAACCCCTGGAAATTGTTTTTTTTAAGATTTATTTATTTATTTATTTATTTATTTATTATGTTTACAATGTTCTACCTGCATGTATGCCTGCAGGTCAGAAGAGGGCAGAAGATCTCATTACAGATGGTTGTGAGTCACCATGTGGTTGCTGGGAATTGAACTTGGGTCCTCTGGAAGTGCAATCAGTGCTCTTAACCTCTGAGCCATCTCTCCATCCCAACCCCTGGAAATCTTAAATCTGATATTTTATGTATGTAGGCAGGATCTGTAACTGCACCCATTAGTCATTATTTAATTATACTTCCTATTTTAATGAGTTATTTAGTTTTAAAATACCTACCTGTACCCAGCACTTGGGAGGCAGAGGCAGGTGGATCTCTGTGGGTTCGAGGCCAGCCTGGCCTCCTGAGTGAGTGCCAGGATAGGTTCCAAAGCTACACAGAGAAACCCTGTCTCAAAAAACCAAGAATAAAATAAAATAAAATACCTACCTGTAATTTGGGAGGGACACTTGGAAAGATAGCTCTAAATTTTACGGAAAAAAACCAACCTGAATTATCTCAGTCATACAAACATAAAATTAATGAATGATCAAAACTAATTAATTTAAAATAAATAAACAACTTATCCCTGACCAGTCTCTCTTGAATCTAATTGGGATGTTTTAGTCATGGTATCTTGAGTCTGCAGGCTCTGAAGCACTGTGTGGCTGAGAATGTGTTTATAGAAGCCACTTGATTGTGTATTGTCTAGAGCAGGAAGAAGATGCTTTACCTGTATAACAGAGGTGTGCAGAAAAAAATGTAGCAAAGATAGTTTCTCTTAAACATTTGCTTTTTTCTTTTCTCAGGCGGAGCTTGCCAAGTACATGTGTGAAAACCAAGCATCTATCTCTAGCAAACTTCAGGCTTGTTGTGACAAACCAGTGTTGAAGAAATCCCACTGCCTTGCTGAGGTGGAAAATGATGTACTTCCTGCTGACCTGACTTCATTAGCTGCTGATTTTGTTGAAGATAAGGAAGTGTGCAAGAACTATGCTGAGGCCAAAGATGTCTTCCTGGGCACGTGAGTAGATGCCCTTCCTTTCATGGTTGCTGTGCTATATATATATATATACACACACACACACACATCAATATGATACTGAGTTTTTCATACTTGGTTGTAAAGACCAGAATGCCACAGTGTGGCAAGACAAGATACAATTAATAACAAATGACTATATGTTTTTCAGTAACTGCAACAATTAATTTTATCATTTTATTATTAGATTATGACTGTACCCTATGCACTAAATAGTACTTAATAAAAGATTTTACTCATATGTAGAAGAAAAAGAAACTTTTATTATTGTCTCTATTTACCCAATTGTCAAGGTACTATGGAGACATAGTTCAAAAGAAACTACATATATAGTAAAAATAACCTGGTCAAAATTTAATATGTGCTAGTCTCTGTGTACTTTGATAGCGTGTGCCATTTATTTATCCCAACCCAGCTTGTGACAGAGGTGCTATCCTTATTCCCATTCCACAATGGAGGAAGTTAACGCACTGACAGTGTTAGTAAGTTGCCCATGCAGAACACTAAAATACACTGCAGTGTCAAAACAGAACCTGGGAAGAGTCATCTCTGGGTCCCAAGTTATTACTGTTTTGTTTCCTGAATTGAGCTGATTCCAATGCAGGATGTCTGGAAAGTGAATCACCATTTAGATTAGTTATGTGAGTCTATTACTTGTACATTTATTTAACTCAGTCTATGTTCATCTCCATTAGGTTTTTGTATGAACAGGCAAGAAGGCACCCTGACTACTCTATTGCCCTGCTGCTGAGACTCGCTAAGAAATATGAAGCCACCCTGGAAAAGTGCTGTGCTGAAGCTGACCCTCCTGCATGCTATGGCAAAGTGGTAGGTTTCAGTAAGCCAAGAACACAGCACCACCTGACAGCACTTCCTATAAGGAAAGAGGAAGTGACTAACTAACAAGAATTGATATGTAGGTCAATTCAGATGTTTTCTTGAGATGGAGTCAAGTCTGAGCTCTTAAAATTCTTATTCATGGTAGGATGAACACTTTAGTAAAGAAACCTAGAGTTTCAAACCTAGAGAAGGTTTGAAGAAAGGAAGGAATCTTTACTCGTACAAAATCCTTATTGTAGTTTTGCCCTTTTCATACTCTTGAGAATAAAATAAGAGAGGAAATTCAAATGCCAGCTAAAAGAGATTTATTTAATTTAGATTTTTTGTCAACAAGTATTTATTTTTTTCTACAAGGTAGACATGCAACACAAGTTTAGGATCAACAAAGGACTCTACACTCTTAAAACGTGTATTTGACCACTTTATAGAACTCAGACAACCTTCAAAGGCTTTACCTGTGGGATATCAGGCAGAGGAAAGGCATATTTAACTTAGATTTAAAGACAGTTAACCCAATTCCCCAAAATTGTCTGCTATTAGCATTAATATCTCAAAGGAGTTTGGGTACTCTTTTCCTTTAAACTACCTTCAAACATTTTGGAGAAGGTTTTGGAGTAGTTTTCCAAGAAGTTTTGCCTGCAAGACATCAGAGTTCCTGCCAGCACATACTGGTTTCTGAAATATTTGGGGCCAGAAGGGAATCATACTTTAAAAAGTAGCTACTGAATGCCAGGCACCACTCTGTGACTTGAGTCTGGGAGTAGACTCTCATCTCAGAGACCTCAAGATTCAATCAGAGAGATTGCCTACAGATGATGACCATAGTCTATTGAATGTCGGCTGTGCACTAGGTGTGATTTTAATCTCATCCACTTAGTTGGTTAGCAGAACAGTTTAAGTTAACTACAATTAATGCCACTGTAGAGGAGGTTAGTCTGAAACTTAGACATGAGAAGAACAGTTGCATAACAGGGAAACAAGTCAGGTGACCTGGTTCAAGCACAGCCATTGAATTCCATATCCTGAAGATTCTTATTGACTTGCACCAAAGGACCTTGCAAATAAAAGCAATGATCTAAATGTAATAGGACAGACATGACATGGAAGATCTCCTGAAGTGTCTTTGGACAGAAGGAAGGGAGAAATGCAAGTGACCTACATTGGGTTCTCAGGAAGGGTGCTGTAAACACAATTCTTTTACCTTGCAGTTGGATGAATTTCAGCCTCTTGTAGAAGAGCCTAAGAACTTAGTCAAAGCTAACTGTGACCTTTTTGAGAAGCTTGGAGAGTATGGATTCCAAAATGCGTGAGTAGTCTTATCAGCTATTTTTTCCTTGATCAGTTTGTAATTATTTAAAAGCAATGTATAGGCTACCCAGCGTTTGGCCTTAGTAATGAAAACACACTATTTATAATCTCTATCAAAAAAATTCTGGATAGGAGATAAGTTACTTTATAGGATGGAGAGGACCATATCCTTGTATAATACAAAACACTTGTCTCTTGGGAGTATGTAGTTTTGAGGACTTATAGTAAATCTTGATACGTTGGTACTGGGAGTATCCTTGGAAGGTTAGGTAGAGTTTTTGAGCAAACAATAGAACCATATTTGGTGGAACAAGAAGCAGCTTGCTTTGGCAGCAGAAGCTCAAGAATTGATAGAAATGTTGAACATAAGAGTATGATAAAATATTTAGGTGATATGTGAATATTACATGAATAAGGGTTCACTTGGGAACACATTGGAATTTTGGAGTTATACCTAAACTTTGGTAGTTGTGGCCTTCTATTCCTATGGAATTGCATTCATAGGAGAGATAGAGACTGAATGGCCTACGAGAGTAGTGTCCCAATTCCACAGAACCTTATCTGTAAAGGTGAAGTGAAGACAATGAAAGAATCACATTATTCCTTATTCAGGTCATTTACATTTTTAACTCTCTTCTAACTCCAGAGTTTGGAGTTGACAACATTTCTTCACTTGAGTAGATTACAGTCATACATTGACTTTTACTGGTTAGAGTGCATTATCAAATACTAGATGTTATTAGATGGTAGATAATGTGCAAAGCACAGATTATTTCCTTTCATTTAACCCTTACATATCTCTCTTAAATCAGCTATCTTTTCACCACTATCTTTTGACCTCTTCATTTATCACAGTGTTGATATGTGTAAG